CATTTTGGGAACACACATTTCAGGTAGCACAAATCGGGGAAAAACAGGAAAGAGAATACAACTTCGATATAACCTCCTCAGCTGAGGTATATACAGCTGCTATAAGTGTAACTTTTTTGGACAAAACCTCCATTGTTGTGAAATAAGTCTACGTCTCTTGACAGGGTTTGCATTAATGATGCGATTTCCAGCTAACTTTATCATGAAATATATCATATCGATCGACGGGAGTAGCTGCCGATCATATTTCTTATACAGTGCCACTAGTATAGTGTGTGTTGATACAATATGGGTTCTTCTCTGAGTGTGCAAAGTTGAAAAATCAACATACACCGTTGGGATTTGTTATATATTGGCTCTGTTTGCGCTGCCCCCTCACTCCTAGCTGAGATGCGAGTTGAAATAAAGCCTCACTGTGCTACACAAGAGAAGTTATCAAACAGCAGCAGAGCTCTCTGTAAATGGTGAGCAATACTTTTACCCCAGGTACTAAAACACATGCAATACAGATAAAAAAGAAAGCACAACCCGAGCAAGCCTCCATTTCACCTTTTCGTGAAAAATGAATCACAGCCAAATGAGGGGAATACAAAAAGAAAAGAGAAACAAATTACAATTATTCACACCAGCCAATTAATCTGCATAATGAGCAAGAATGCAAATACAATCAAGGGCTTTCAAGGAATGAAGTGATGTGAAAACAGGGGTTATCAGTTATGACTAACAGATGGCATTTCTCATTATCAACTATAGTATGTGATGAGAAAGCTGAGATAAAGGAGTGAAAAAATTAAACAAAGGTGACGAATCTTCCTAACATCTCTCTACATGCACACAAACCTTTTTAACACACTAGAGGAAAGGGATAACCCCAAAAGCTATAAAAGGGCCTCTTTAAAACTCCATTATTATGGCTAATATAACTTTAACATATATGTGTGATATTTATTTATCCACACATCACTAATGCGGAGCAACAAAGTTGTTAAGAATTCACACTAAACTCATAACAGGCGCACTCCATTAGGTGTTTTTGTTTCAGACACCTATTATTATGCACAAAGGCGTCTGCATACAGTACAGTGTGACTCAAAGAGAGCTGTGCAGTCATCATTTGTGATGCATTTATCTTTGTGGCAGTCAGCGCTGGGTCTCCACTCTGTAACACATAGCCAAAGAGCACAAGAGAGAATTAATTAGAAAGGAATATCAAATACGCAGCATTCATAAAGTGTGGGTAATTGGTCTTGGAGAAGGTATTAAAACCTTGGGAATACGAGGTAAGGATTGAAATTTAGAAAGAAAGAGGAAACTAGATATATAGAGAAACTAGAGCTCAAAAGAGTAAGGGGTCAGATAGGTGAGGAATGAAGACGCCTGCTGAGGTGGAGGTGAGTAATTAATCCTGGAACTGCATGACCTCTCTCTTTTGAAAAGGCGAACTGCAATGCCACGAATCATACTGTGCCATGGCTACTGTGAAGAACACACACCTTCACTGGGTTTGAGATGTGTTCTGCTGCAGCCAAAACACACTTCATGGTCAGAACATTATACAAGAGACACAATCCATTAATGTGTGTGAAAAGGGTCCGTGCTGGGAAATTGTACAAATCGTTTTCATCTGAAAAGTGAAGAGAAAATAAAAGTGTTAGGCTAAGGTAAAGGACATAAACTCATTAAACATTAAGGAATTTAAATGGGTAACCATATTTCATGTTCATTATTAAAAGCAAATGTTCTTTTGAAGCCTTTTGTCACAGTAGAGGCACAACAAAAGCAAATATGAACATGGTAGCATAACAGGGCCCCTTTAAAACTTTTTTTTAATGTATTTTTATTTATTTATTTATTTATGTGGATTTTGTTTTGCATGTATTATTATCATTATAATACGTTTTTTTTATGCAGAAAGTCAAAAACAAAGGTTTATAACATTGTTATTTATTTGTTTGTCTTCAATTACACCCTCAGCTTGTTTTGTTCCATCATTTCTATCGATCTATTCTGGAAACTTGAGAGAAGTTTTTTTTTTCTCTTTTTAACCAAAAATAAAAAGAATTAAAAAACGATCTTATTGAATTTACATGGAGGAAAATGAGCTGTGCCGAGAGCAAACATCCACAAATGAAGTATCTGCAGCTTGTAAAGCATTATTATGCAGAATGGATTTCTTATTAAGCAGCTCTTTCTTGGCAGGAAATAAAAATAATGTTGAAGTGGTGAAAAGCAGAAGTAGAGGTGAGTTTTTGAAGCTGAAAAGAAAAACACTTAAGAGTATGTGCAGCATTGACTAACTCTGAAAGGTATCAATTAAAAAAACCTGCTCAAGTGGTTTATTTTTCTTTAAAACTTTGGTTAAAAACCTGAATTTATCCGCATGAAAAGCCTTCCTGACCGCTGTCACACTCTTAGTCTTTTCTCTTTGGGTTTTTGAGAGAAAGTTAAATGTTAATTCAGAGATGAATTGAAGAGGCGAAAATGGGCATAATGTGAAATCGTCCTTGCTATCAGTCAAAGAGAGACTCGCACAATCATTAAATGAAAACCCCAACTCTGTCTTTTGAAGAAGTCTCATTAAAATCCTCTTATCTTAGGCAGAGTTTCAGCTTCAGTGGAGCAGCATCTCACACGATAACGACTTCAGCGACACTGCATTGTGCGAAAAAATTATAATGTCAGTCTGTAAAGGTGATTTAAAACAGTGCTGTGTATACATCTTTACTTAATGGTTTCATAATGAAAACATTAAGTGAATATGTAATATGGATTTTTTTTTCTTTGTGAAGCTCACACAAACAAAAAAATTGATTGAACTGGAAATGAACCTGGAAAGCGTTAGTGATGAAATAAATCTGCATATTTTACAGTCAGAAGAAAGAGAACATTTCTAAAGATATAATGAGATAATTGTCGTGATGTATTTATGTTCATATTCAACTTTCGTACATATGATTGTTTTTTGTTTGAGACATTATTTGCTGTCCTGCTAATGTTGACCACATTTCCTACTGTGTAGAAAAACAGGAATGCATGTGGAGAGGATGAAATTCTGGAAATAATGACTGTGCCTAATGGGGGGTGGGGGTGNCTGCTTGTAGTTTAGCTGTAATATAGGCTATATGTAACATCTAACATTTACAAAAGTCACCTGTAATAGTTACCTTATTTAGGACTAGATGCCGTTTGCATGTCTGAGAGCAGCAAGGTGATGAAGGGACCTTTGAAGACAGCGCCACTGCAGCGCATGCGCACTTCTTATCTCATAATTATGACTTTTTACCTCATTATTTCGACNTCACAGCAGCAGTATGCCTACTGTACACTATTGTCATTAGTGGCGTGAACGTTACAAAAATATATATTAAGGTAATGTCAAAGCTATGAACTGCATTGTAACAATGCAGTTCATAGCTTTGACATTACCTTAATATATATTTTTGTAACGTTCACGCCACTAATGACAATAGTGTACAGTAGGCATACTGCTGCTGTGAGTTGTAAGCCTAAGACTCTAACCCGTGAACGTTACCACAAAACTATAGGCAATATTATTGTTCATAACAGGTAATGTCAAAGCTATGAACTGCATTGTTGTTTAGCTGCAATATAGGCTATATGTAACATCTAACATTTACAAAAGTCACCTGTAATAGTTACCTTATGTAGCTGACGCTCAAAGGTCCCTTATTATTGTTTTGTCCTTTTTGAAGAGTGTTTAATGTATGCTTGAACTTTGTTTTATTTTGTAAAAATGATAAGAGTTGTCTTTCCGGAAGTCATGTGACCTCTTGCCTCGGATGTTTATTTGTGTTTGTGTGCCGTAAAAGTGTCAACGATGTGATAACGTAATTCTACTGCTGGTCTACTAGGCAAACACGTTTTCACGGTGTTTCATGATTGTGCAAAGAAGAGAATAAACGTGATTGTGGACATCGGTTCGATGCGTACTGTAATGTTCTTTCAAGACCAGAGTAGTTACACCTTATTTAGGACTAGATGCCGTTTGCATCATCACTGCCACTGCAGCAAGGTGATGAAGGGACCTTTGAAGACAGCGCCACTGCAGCGCATGCGCACTTCTTATCTCATAATTATGACTTTTTATCTCATTATTTCGACTTTTTATCTCATTATTTCGACTTTTTATCTCATAATTATGACTTTTTATCTCATTATTTCGACTTTTTATCTCATAATGTCGACTTTTTATCTCATAATTATGACTTTTTATCTCATTATTTCGACTTTTTATCTCATAATTTCGACTTTTTATCTCATTATTTCGACTTTTTATCTCATAATTTCGACTTTTTATCTCATTATTTCGACTTTTTATCTCATAATTTCGACTTTTTTATCTCATAATCATGACTTTTCATGGGGATTTTATTTTTTTTCAAGTGGCGGAAATGGGCTTCCATATAAATCCAACGAGTCTTGAGCCATACAAATCTGCTGCAGTTTCCTGTAGGCCTCCGGTGATATTCATCTTATTTTACACGCCCCCCTCCCCCTCCCCCTGTGAGCCAGTAGCCGTCGGTCTGCGGGACAGCGAGAACCGCGCGGAACTCAGCCTGGGCACACACGCACACCTGGAGCCTGGCTGGGAGTTTGTGTGTGTGCCCAGGCTGAGATCCGCGGTTTCTCTGTCCCGCTCCTCGCAGCAGCGAGCCTCGCAACGTCCCACCGAGTGTGTGAGGAAGTCCGCGGATTGGTCCACACGTAACGGCTCCGTGGACGTAACGTTGCTTCACTATACCCGAAATACGTCACTATGCCCAAGAAGTAAACAATGGAAAAAGATAAATGTCCAACGAGGCGTTCTGGGGCAGCATAGACAGGTATTTTCTGTGTTAGAGTTTTACTCGCTACAGGGTGTACTTTGAGGGTTTGTGACTCTGCAGACCGTTTACATGCAGAAAAAGCTACATAACACACAAGGGGACGGGTAATAACCAGAAAAGCATGACATGGGACCTTTAATACAATACTTCCCTTTTGAGCATTAACACTGTTATCATACATCCACCTCCATACCTCTAGATTTCTTCTAATACAATCCAAGAGAAGGGGAACAACAAAAGAAGGTTGGCTAAGGCAACGTGAGGCTGAGTATCTTGTGAAGGTATTCAAGGACAGGGTTTACTTTGTGTTATTGCCTTTCTGCAGCAACTCTGCAAGAAAACTGTCTGTGGAAACAATTACATGGAGGAATGATTTTACTGAAAAGACTTAGTAAATCAGAAGATGTGTTTCTCATTTGGTTAACCTAGACTTCTGAAGCCTCGTACGAAACAGAATATTGCATTCCTTACAACGGTATGGTACTGCGTTACAAGAAATACAAATACAAGTTACAGAACGGGCAAAAAGAACAATAACAGCATTAAAAAAAACTGACATATAGGCATGTAAGCTTTCCAATAAGAAATGCTCGACAACCTAAACTCAAGATTGAAGGCTTGTATTGTCATTTGTACATCGCTACAGTGTAGATATGTCAATAGAAATCTTAGGTCACAGGCTAAACCCCTTGCCAACATACTAAAGCAGCTTCGTCAAGAGCGATAAGCCTCAAATAATATGTATATTTATCTGCTGCTCTCATATATATACCACTTTCCAGTATTGCTCAAGCTCATCTCTGTACAGGTCAATTACAAAATATATAAACAAATCATTTGAAGCCAGCACTGAACATAAATCACAATGTGAGAGAAGATATTCTCCACACTTTGTGAAATTGACCATACAAGATTGATGATATCTTTTCAATTAGGATGAATCTGAAAGAAGACTAATTAAAATAATTCCCATTTCCCCCTATATTAAATTAGAAACAAACAGTTTTCTTGTTGTGGCAATTTATTAAACAACACTTATATACAAATATATTCATTACAGGACATGTAAAATATTACATCTCAACATAGTGTAAATGGCTTTGGGTGCATTTAGTACAAATATCCAAACTCCACGATGACACTGTAGGTATTCACACGACACCGAGCAAACACACTTGTGAATTTCAAGCATTTGCAATATGTAGTTTAATTCAAAGCTTCCCTCTTGGCTAAACTGATCCACCAAAAGACCCATTTCAGTTGTAAAGACTTGGGTTTCTAATGCAGCCGCCATGTAAACCTTTTAAACTGAGGCTTCAAACCCACCAGATTCAAAGTACAATCATGCAGGTCCCTGAGAGGTAATGCCATCTTGTAATTCCGCAGCCAGTCCTTTGTCAAAGGTAAAGGAGCTGAGTTTTTGTGTTTCAGCATTTCACCACGGACTTTCCTTTTCAAAGAGATTTCGCCGTGAGTTATAAAAGAGTCTCAGACCACAGATCCTCCTCTGGTCATAGGCAGTCTCTGCACAGAGCCACCTGGCCGACCCGATAGTCCCTGCAGGGGCAGAGGCGCTGGTATTTGGCGCTGGAGCCGGCGCAGCTAAACAGCAGCGGATCCTGCTGCAGGCCACATTCAGCATGCTCCGCTGAGAAGGCAGGGAGGAGGTGGTTCACCTGGGACTCCACTCCATCACACTGGAGCTCCAGCCTGAGAACAAACACGGAGCAGGACACACATTAGAGTTTATTATCTCCGTTTTTTTTATTCCACTTTGTCATTGCAGTACTAAGACAACGAAATGCAGTTAGCATTAACCAGTACGTGCAACAGAAGCAATACAGTTCAGTGTTATGGATGGATGGATAGATGGATAGATGGATAGATGGATAGATGGATAGATGGATGGATAGATGGATGGATAGATGGATAGATAGATGGATAGATGGATGGATAGATGGATGGATAGATAGATAGATAGATAGATGGATAGATAGATAGATAGATAGATAGATAGATAGATAGATAGATAGATAGATAGATAGATAGATAGATAGATAGATAGATGGATAGATGATAGATAGATAGATAGATAGATAGATAGATAGATAGATAGATGGATAGATGATAGATGATAGATAGATAGATAGATAGATAGATGGATAGATAGATAGATAGATAGATGGATGGATAGATAGATAGATAGATAGATAGATAGATAGATAGATAGATGGATAGATAGATAGATAGATAGATAGATAGATAGATAGATAGATAGATAGATAGATAGATAGATAGATAGATAGATAGATAGATAGATAGATGGATGGATATAGATAGATAGATGGATGGATAGATAGATAGATAGATAGATAGATGATAGATAGATAGATAGATGGATAGATAGATAGATAGATAGATAGATAGATAGATAGATAGATAGATGGATAGATAGATAGATAGATAGATAGATAGATAGATAGATAGATAGATAGATAGAAAGATGGATGGATAGATGGATAGATGGATAGATGGATAGATAGATAGATAGATAGATAGATAGATAGATAGATAGATAGATAGATAGATAGATGGATAGAAAGATGGATGGATAGATGGATAGATGGATAGATGGATAGATAGATAGATAGATGGATAGATGGATAGATAGATACTTTATTGATCCCAATTTGGGAAATGTTTGTGTTGCAGCAGCATAAAAAACACAAGAGACATAAGAAACATAAGAGAAATTAAGACACAAGAAATAAACTAAGAGAATAAAAGTAGTAAAAAGACAAAAATCAATAAGACACACAGGGAGCTGCTGCAACAGGCTGCCACCTAGCATAGCGCCAAAGCTAAATATTATTTCATTTAATATTAATTATTTATAGTATTATGCAAGTATATAAATATAAAAGATTTAAAAAAGCCAACGTTAATACAGTATGACAGTATGTATGGGTATACACACTATAGGTTAAGGTTTAATTATGAGACACATTCCAGACACAAAGGCAATTCAAAGTGCTTTACATAAGCATTAACACATCATATTAAAATAACTACATAAAAAAGGTGAACTACTAGGAATACAAATTGAATACACCCTAGCTGATAGAAATAAGACACTATAGACAGAATGAATATGAATATAATATAGACCAAATAAATATTATGATTAGTCTGAGTACGCTTTCGAAGATATAGCTGTACGGACAGTTTTATTAATACTGTATAATGAGTAATGCACCTTTAGGGACTTTTACACAGTAATATATTTATTTTATTGTTACAGTGCTGCCCCAAAACCTAAAGGAATTAGGGGAGATACGAGAGGAAACAGTAAAACTAGTGTCTTCTTCTGGATTGCATAACTTTAAACAAAAAAATGCAAATCAGCCTTAATGTTGTGGAGAGGAAAAGTTAGTTAGTTAGTCCAATTGGTTGCTTTGCAGAATGAGCATTCAAAAAGGTAATCAATAGTGTGGATGGGGCTTTCAGAAAGAACAGTTGAACTTCCATTTTCTATTTAAAGAAGGCAAATGCACTACAGTGTATATCACATTGATGGGTGTAAAGTTGACATGCAAATGTATATCCATAAGATTCCAGATTGGTGACAAATCTTTGTATTGAAAACAGCGTGTGTGTGTGTGTTGGCATCACTTCCCTTCATTTCAGCATTTTAAAGAGTCAACTATTATGTCTAAAAATGATTATTTTCCTCTGACACTTAAATCTCAGTGTTATCTTTCCACTGCCATGCATCGATAGCAGCAAATGAAACGATAAAAACAGTTCTGGGCCAAATGGTGAGTCAATTATCCCAATGAAGAAACAACTTACGCGCTGAAGGCCTCCTTAATGTTAATGAAGCGATACAAGGCAGGTTCACAGATGAGCTCTGCGCCCTGGCACGCCTCCACACAGGACTCTCCTTCCAGAGAAGCCAGCAGGCGCAGCGCACTGAGGGGCGGCCAGGATGTGTAGGAGCTGGCGTTGGAGGCCCAGGTTAGGATGCTGGAGTTAGGCAGCAGGACGAAAGGACTGCTCAGCCAAGACGAGTTTACAGGAGGAAAGGGAGCTTCGGGGGAACAAAAGTCCTGCAGGAGCAAAGATAGAGTGACCCAGATCAGTCATTTGCTCAGTGTTGTATAAGTGTAGCAGGAATGTGTCCTAAAATACTTCCTGTTAGCTTTAAAGTCAATGTTTTTTGTGAAAGGTTTTGGTTGGATCCCTGAAGCTCCATGGTTAACACAAGCTTATGAGATTTCAGATTTTGTTCTACAACATCAAATATGTCAGTCAATAATAGTGCAAATGCTAACAATTGAGAATACTAAACGTCATCCAACCGTGTCCGCATTTAGCTTAGCGGTTTATAACCTAACATTAGCTTTTGACTTATGCAGATTGCATTTACGCTTCAACTATTATAAAGAGGTGTTATTATGTGGCGACTCTGCTGCTGAACAAAGTATCATTCACTACGTTCCAGAGAGAGAAAATCCCATTGGCTTTTTGTCAAGAGAGCCTTTGCAATGTTAACTTCAGGGTCGGCCTACAGAAATACATCATCCCTGCTCCACTCTATTGCTAACACTTTGCCCTGTCAGCTAAAATAAACTCAGATCAGTGACAAATCATACATTCAGCTCTGCAATAGCTAAGCGGAGGAAATAATAACAAACATTCGGATACAAAGATGCTTATCAGAGCTGACACGCCCTCGTCAATCTTCCAGGAAATGATATGAATGCAGGCATGCCAACCAATAACAAGTGGGGGTTGGAGGAAGAATTAGACTGCGCTGAGAGCCCTGATTATATTTCCCCTCCAGCTGGGGCTATTCATAAAACCCAGGTAATAATATTTCTCTGACATGTCCCACTGGCCTCCGGTCTCGGTATTAAACAGGCTCCCAGTGCCCGCAGGCAATAACTTGGCTTCCTATCTCTCCATCTCTGCTGCTCTCCTTATCCCACACAACATCTGTGACACACACTCACACAGCTCATCAGGAATGTAACGAGCATGGAACGAACAAGGTTGAGAGATAGAGATGGAAGAACGTAAAGATGCTACCATTTTGAATTCTTTCATTAGTTTTTTTATCAAACCAATTTATTTGATTGAGTTCATGTATTTGGTTTTGTGTGAAGGGCTTGTTAGAAAATGTACATCATTTTTTATTTTCTCTGGTAATTATGAACAAGATACTTGTGCGTATGTGATTATAGCAAGTTAAGAATGAGTGCTGTGTGTCAGTTTACATACTTCTCTTAAATGTGCTATTTGGAGAGCACAAATGCATCATTGCGGTCCACATTTTTAGTGCGGAACAAAATAGGCTACAATCAACGCCATTGACTACGTACCAGAAGTTGTGGGACCAGCTGTTATTGCCTCGGTGAAGACAGCACAATACAAAAAAGTGTGTTTTTTTCACTTTTTAATAAAATTACGACTATACTGTGAAGCCACCATTAATTGTATAAGGTTAATTTAGCAGTCTTTAATGATTTGCTACTGCTAGCGAATGTTGCTAGTTTGCTAGCTAGCTAACCAACCCAGTCCCACTGCATTTCGTGTTATAGTCACAACATTTCATCTATTGATTCGTGTTCACCAACACGATTTTCCCCTTTTTTTCGTGTCACACAGAACGATTTTAAAAGCAATGTATTTCTATTGGTAGTATATTTCGTGCCTGCACCACGTATTTTTGTCCGGTCGGGTCTCGGAAGACCGGAAGCTGTGTGGTTCATAAAAACATGTTCTTACTCAATATCAAGCCACGATTATTGATTTTATTTTAAATCGTATAATGTCTGACTTTTTGTGCCGTCAATGACGAAAATAAATGGGGCTCAGAGGCTCAGAATACTGAAATATGTATTTTTTAAATCTTTTTTTCCTTCTAATTTGTTATTCTTTTCTAAATAACACACCGTTATTTACTCAACAATAACACACAATTATCCTTGTTTTTATTTATTGGTTTAATTCTATAATATCGGGCTTTTTTGCCGTCCGTCAGGAACTGAATTTCAAAACAAAGTCACCGGAAACAGACGTAGACGGTACACACCCACTGAACTGATTACCCAAGATCCTCAGCTATGGTTGAAGCTCGGTGATTGGATGTTTTAGCCGCAATGCAAGTTGGGATATGGTGTTTATGCGATATGAAATAATTATCAACAGAATTGTGTTGCCAGGCAACAGCTTGGGGTGAAAACAGTATTTCCGGTCTCGAAGTTTGCATAGTAATCTGCAGTACTCATCAACTAAAAACATCAGTTTATCCTTGTTAATTACACAACATTGATTGGTTTAAATTGTGTAAAATGCTTTTGTGTTTTCCCCCTTCGATTCGGAGAAACAAATAGTTTTTTCTGATTTTAGGATGGCCGAAGACACTACACTACCCATAATCCTCAGTTATTGTTTGGGACTACAGTCCCTTTGCTTGACAAACCCCGTGATTAATCTTCAAGCTCTGTGATTGGATGTTGGAGATGCAGAGTGCCAAGGTTACGCTGAGCGTCAAACAGCTCTTTGAAATGGAATGAAACCACAGCAGACTATCCAAAACTGGACTCGAACGGGTATAAAGTATATTCATTCAACTACGGTGTAGTTATGCAATGATGAAAAACTTGGATCGCAGGTTCCTCAACAGTGCATTACAAGACATCTATCAATATGTGTGTATACCTCCACCATTAAACTGTCATATTCTGCACATTTCTTATACTATCTACATACATCTTATAAGAGTATACTTAATATGTATAATATCAGTTAAAACAAGTGCTTCAACATAGTTAACATTGCAGGAAAGCAATATATTAGACGTTAAGTAATTTGTAAGGCTTAATATTTATCTGTAGATACCCCCAAAGCTTTTTTCTTATTCAAAAGAAGACCTTAACCTTAAGTTTTCTTTAATGTTTAAATAAAGGTTAATTCGTTTTTCTGTTTTGCACATGCTCCTATTAATATCTTTGTACAGCCTTCACTAAACTGTTTTATTGTAGAGATCACTTACAGTATCTTCTTGATTTTTTATATTCTATAATTCTATCATTGACCTTCTACTTTCCCCTATTTTGTATGTATTTTTTTCATCAAATATAACATTCAACAAAGAAATGCAATAACGTGCTTTAACCACTAGGCGGTGCGGGTTAAAAAACTGTCAAGTTTATAGTGTTAACACAACAAATTATACTTTTTATTATTAGTGTAGGACACTTATGTATGTATAACATCTGAAGATGTGTAGTTTTATTCATGTTTTCACATAATTTGACAGGGCATTGCTATATTATTTTGTATTTAGCTTTACTTCTAAACATTAATATCTGATTTGTAAAACATCACTGACAGAAAGGCATATCCGTCATTTAATGGTAAGCTATTGAAATTCTGGTTCCATAGATGTGTCTCCCATCACCCAAAACCCCTGACTATTCTCTCAACTCAGTATTTACATTCTTTAATTCAAAGAAAATCTGTAATATCTTTAAAAACTACAAGTCCCTGTCTATCAGCTGTGCACCGTTACCTATCTACCAATTGGATCAAATATAAAAGTCAGCCGAATTAGTGTTAATACTGCAAGGAGACGTATTATGTGAAGAGAAATTGAAGATGTTGTTTAATTGTTGATATATTTATGACCCACGTCACATATTCAGTTTCGGTTGCATTTCTTCCAGTTTGTCCAGAAGTCTTCAAATCAGGGCTCCATAAATAAAGAACTACGGCAGATGTGTAATATTTAATGCAGCCGAACCGTGTATTACAATGCCGTTATGTGATGGCTTTCAAAAAGAAAAGCATGTACTCTCGGATTAAAATATTATTATTATTTTTTTTTTTATGTTTCCGATTTCATACCGCATAAACACCATATCCCAACGTGCATTGCGGCTAAAACATCCAATCACCGAGCTTCAACCATACCTGAGGATCTTGGGTAATCAGTTCAGTGGGTGTGTATCTGTTTCCGGTTCTTTTATTTTTAAATTCAGTTCCTCACGGACGGCAAAAAAGCCAGATATTATAGAATTAAACAAATAAAAACAAGGATAATTGTGTGTTATTGTTGAGTAAATAACAGTGTTTTATTTAGAAAATAATAAGAAATTAGAAGGAAAAAAATTTTTAAAAAATACAGATTTCAGTATTCTGAGGCTTTGAGCCCCATTTCTTTTCCTCACTGACGGCAAAAAATTTCCGACATTATACGATTTAGAATACAATCAATAATCGTGGCTTGATATTGAGTAAGAAAATGTTTTTATGAACCACACAGCTTCCGGTCTTCCAAGACCCGACCAGACAAAAAGACGTGTTGCAGGCACGAAACATACTACCAATAGAAATATGTTGCTTTTAAAATCGTTCTGTGTGACACGAAATGCCGTGAGACTGGGTTGAGCTAACAGCAGGGTTGGTCACTTCCTGAAAGGGCTCAGCCGCCTTGTAGGATTTAAATCAACGCTACCCAATTGAAAGTCACACACTGCCCAAGTGTTCACAGTGTAGGACATGGCAGTGTACTCAGGGAAGGATCTCAAATTAGACCCAGCAGAGGCCTTTTTAATGCTACCACTGAGTCATCATATTCAGCAAATAGGCTATCCACACATAAAGAACAAAGACAAGATCTGAAACGGGGGTCTTTTTGTTTTAAGGTGTCTCCAGCCTCACTGATGAGGTCTAGACAAGTCATTAACTGAAGTGTCTGTTTTAATCATCCATGAGACCCTTTTATTTCCTCACTTCCTGCAGTAGTTCTGCACACTTCTACAATGCTATGGATGACAAATCGACATTTTGGAAATGTTTTATCAGCAACAGCAGCAGGCTTTTTATACAGCAGATATGAACTAGTAGGACAAGTGCACTCATTACATAAATGATAGTTCTGTTATTCAAGAGTCTCAGTTAGACAGTAAGTCAGTGTGTTACCTTCAAATTGAACTTAAGACATGGAAAGTCGTGCACAGGAAAAAATAACTGTCTATGGACCGAGGCTAAAAAATGTATTAAGCAGAATTGTGCCATCACCAACTTCTTTACATTTGTTTTTTATTGACACAACAACTGCACTGCTCTGTATGGCTACCATTCACAGAGCAAATAAACACTTATTTCTCCTTACTCTGTCTATTTGTTTGAACACCAGTATGTCTGAAATGAGAAATGTCCATAAATGGTCTTTTCAAATTGTGGAATGAACCAAAACATCCTTATAAAACTAGAACGAGTGGGAAATATATACCATCATATAGAAAGTGTTTCCAGAGAAAGAGACTGAGCTGCCTTTAGAGTACATTGTATAAGGGTCAAAGTAAGACTGAAGCCCTGCCTGTGGCCGGTGGTGAGATGGAGTCATTGTGAGAGATAACGAGGACCAGAGGTTCAGTCAGGCAGTAGATAAAACGGAGAAAAAGATTTGTAAGGGAGCTTAGAAAGTAGAAAATAATATTGGAAAAGTCAGAAATGGCAAAGAAGGTTAAGAAAAGTGGAAGAAAAGAGTGGGAGGGGAGTGTGAAGTTTGACAATGTACGATTCAGAAACCGTCTCAGTCAGTCACGGCAGGATGATTGTGTGTGTGTGTGTGTGTGTGTGTGTGTGTGTGTGTGTGTGTGTGTGTGTGTGTGTGTGTGTGTGTGTGTGTGTGTGTGTACACAGTATGAGTGTGTGTGTATGACAGCCTGGGAAGAGATTGTGTGAGAGCAGAGGCTAACGCATACTTTAACCTGCCAATGCCAGACACTATACCAACCATCAAAACATGATGAATGTACCAGAGGACAACAACTCCTGTAAACAGAGAGCAATGTGTTTGTCGATATAAATGTGAGTACTTTCTCTGGATTCAGTTAAATGCACAATAACATCATATCTTGATTATTTATGAATTCCCATTTTCGGAATGTGTAAAATTATTTGGAGTCCATTTTTTATGTATGAGCATTATCATCTCTTTCATCGCACCGTCCTCGAGGAACATCATTGAGAGAAATGAGTCACCTTTCTAGTCTATTAAGCTTGCAGCTGCTGCCTGCAGAGATGTTTAATAGCTGATCCAGGAAATGGAGCAGAGGCATAAATATTACAGCTTCGCAAATGAGTAATCCCGTAAAGGGAAACTTCATAAATATATGTTTATTAGTAGAATGAAATGGACATTTGAATGCTTTAATGAAGTGAGATATTTTGCAGTTGTACATTTCCAATTGCTGTTTTTGTTCCTAAACTATTATCAGTCATTTATTGATTCAACATTTCTTGGAAAACCTTCACTTTTGATTAAAAAAAATGCAACCATCATAGTAAGCAAAGGGACAGAAGGGGAGGTGTGCATCTGTTGCAAATGCTTCACAGACACTTGAGAAAATATTGATTGGCTTAGCAACAAGGATCCAAAATGCAACTTCCCTCTCCTGTCAACAAAGAAGCTGAAACACCTCAAAACAAAGACTAACCTAATGAGCAGAGGTGTCTTCGATGTAGTGCATAGACGCTATTTATTTCTTCCCCAATTCATATGTTGAACTTGAATTGTGTTTGCTAACAACAAGGAATGTTTTTTAAATTGGAAGACTGTACAGAGTAATTGGAGAAAGAAAGCCAGGAGAGTCAGGAGTGTGTGTCACACCATTTGCACTTGAATCATGTGGTCAACACTAGAAGCTAGTCTGGCCAAGAAAAAGCTCAATTCTGGCAGAAACAACTATCTGTTTTAGAAAGGCCAAATAATCTGTGCTAGAAAAGTAGATCGATCAATACATAATTGTAATACTATTATTACAGAAAAGCACTCAAAACAAAGAATCAAATGTTCCTCCTATATGAGATCAGTTTCCACATTTGTCAGTATTTGCTAAAACATAACAGATAATTTTGGCTTTCTACTGTGCATTTGTATATTTTTGGTCTAAGACTGCCTATTAGCATTTAATCTATAATTGTGTGGTAGTGGTGACGATACGGGTCGGAAAATAATCTGACAATATTTCAGGGTATATTTAAAATAATGATAATCTTTATAATAAGACATGAGGAAAAAGTTCCCGCTCTCACCCGTGCTATATCACTCAAACACAAGCACACAAACCAGCATTTATTTTGCCTGTTATGGAACAACGTTTTTGTAGTTACGAAAAAAGGCCAGAGCAAAGCTATTTTGTAAAATTGTCTTTAATTGTATTTTATGGCACAAAACTAATTTGCAGCAATAATGATCAGCTAGTAACATTATTTTATTTCTAAGCTTTAATCGTTTTTGTAACAACTTACAGCACACCACTGGTCTATTCTTAGAGCAGCTGACTTGATGGTGTTCACTTGCAAGAGCAACAGTAGTGGAGCCAGACTAAGTAGCAGAACAATTAATCTTGTTTCTATTTCTCACAACACAAAACTGCTAACAACCTAATCTCATGGGAGGCGACCTATTACCTACAAATAACTTCTATTAAGGTTCATTTTTATGACCTCACCCAGTGTGCCTGCTGGTTTGGAGCTTAGAGACCCACCTGGTTCTGAATGTAGGCGTGCACTCTTTCCAGCATCCCCTCACAGGTGTACTCATACGGCAGGAGTGGCTCCACCTGCAAACACAGATTTGCACACTTATGAAGAGCCGGTAGGGGAGTGTGTGTGTGTGTGTGTGTGTGTGTGTGTGTGTGTGTGTGTGTGTGTGTGTGTGTGTGTGTGTGTGTGTGTGTGTGTGTGTGTGTGTGTGTGTGTGTCCACAGAAGCAAGCTGTGTAATTAAAGGATCAGAGCATCTGATAGTTAATCAAAGCTGACATATTCATTAGCGTAATTGTGAGACGGCTTATATCATGCCACAAGCCGCACATTAAAATCAATGACTTAATACATCTCAGGTGACGGCTTCAAACATTGATTTCATTATTTTTAGTGACGACGGCATCGATATGTCAAACAATGGATTAAACTGACAGCCGAGAACAGGTCATCCAGCACCGAGGGAGGCAGATGGGTTTATTTTGGGTTGCATTCTCGCTCCTTTGGGAGCCGTTATCACTGTCGCTGTTAAGGTCTGTCACTCACTGTCTGACTCTTGATGGCAGGAAATGGATTCAAACTCAATGAATCAACACTGACAAATAGCTTCTCCTCTTCTCTCTCGAGTTTTATGCTAACAGCGTCAGAACGCAGAATGGACACACACATGCACTGATGGTGTAGAAAGATGACTGCTGCTTGATGTGTTTGGATAAGGAGGATTATATTATTGTAACTACTGTCTATTGTATTTTGATGATATCAATAATTATGAAATATGTCAGGATTTTCAGTTCAGAATGTACAATGAATGTCTCCTATAGTAACTAAAATGAGATCTCATTGTTTTCTATCAGGCCACAAAAGCACTCAGGCTTTCAAATTGATAAATGGTTCCTTTAAGTGTTGTGTTCCTTTTAGCACACTGTATTACTTTATTTCATCTGAGTTTAATGAAATGTATCTGGCACTTCATCAGATATTCTGCTGTGCAGTTTGCCTTTTGGGCATCTATATATAATAGAATCTGAGCGAGAGGGAAGAAAAATGCTACATCGAGGGTGATTTGAATTCAGCAGCGGTAAACACTTTTAAAATGACTTTGCGATTTATATACCTCAACTGATTGCATTGCTCAGCCACAAATATGTGTGAGCAACAGTTATTATTTCATGGCATCATTGATGACGATAAAATGAACCTTCTGCCCCGAGGTGCAGCCGCGTCCAGAAAAAGGCAAACAAGCCCATCTGGTGGGTAAAGCCGAGCAGGTGTCTCATAGATTTAAGTGACTCTTTATCAGCTGTCTGTCTCCTCACTTCCATCATGCACTGTTGCCATTATTATCTCAGCAAACAAGCAGGCAGCTCTTGAGCTTTCTGACAGAAGAACAACTAAAACACGAGCCGCAGAACTACTAACAAACCGTATCCAAAAAACGTGTCGAGTAAACAACATTATGTGCTGAGCTTTGAATACTGGGAGTAATCTCAGAAAGAAATTAATTAAACTTAAAGCTGGGTTGCAACCTTTAAATTCAAGCACTTTCCAATTAACTTCACGCAACTCTCACTTGGCACACGGGGAACGCTCTTTGTTTTTCCCAGTTGTGTTGTCTTGTATCTGTGGCGACTTTATGCACTGGTACACTTATGCCTGTAGGTGAGCTTTCCAAGCCCCCCCCCCTCCCCAGGAGTACTCTCTCCAAGCCCTCCCTTGCATATTTTAAACTTAAATCCTTCCTCTGGTCTCATAGTTTATTTTTAATCTGGAGTATTTACTCCAGATAGCTGCAGTTTCGTCGTTTTTGTTTCTCCCATATGGAAATTACTCTGGATTACTGGTAATCACTGCCACAGGGGCGAGATAAAAGATAGGCATTCCAGCTTTAAAATTCCATAAATCATACTGAAATACTTAAGAAGTGAACCACTCCCAAATATGAAGCTAGCAGTAGATTCTCTTGGCTTGGCACAAATAATGTAAACAGAGAGAAACAGCTAGACTGTCTAAAGGTCACAAAACTAACCTGCCAGTAACTGTAATGCTCACTAGGTAAAACACTATATCTAAAATAATACAAAAAGTGACCAGGCAAACAGTGGAAGCAAGATGATCCAAAAATGTAACATGTTTATTAGCAAGACTAAGAAGTGCTAGGTGGAATTAGCCAGCAGAAGTACAGACATGAGAGTGGCACTAATCTTCTCTTCTAACTCTCTGTAAGCACATTGCGTCTTGGCACTGCGAGAGGCTTGGCTGTGGCTTGATATTGCTCTGGTGACAGATTGAGCGCAGCGTGATTGATTAATATGATGTGCTGCGGACAATGCTTTCTGCCTGTGTGGCTGGCCTTTGGAAGTCTGCCATGTAAAGCCAGGTGTGGGCACAGTTTACCTACCGAGCCGCTCAATATCTCAAGCAATTAGCAGCGTGGAAAGCGGAGAGGGAGCCAGCTAAGCATTTTGTTGAAATGCAGGCGCCATGATTAAGAGCTCTATTAAAGGCTGAGCGCTCCAAAAGTGGGTCACACCAGACTATAAAGCATAGAGGAGTATATACTATTATCATTATGCAGTGTAGAGTGTTCTCTGGAAGCTGATGATATAAGAAGACTAGGATAGTACAAACCAATAAATTAACATACATTGATCCTCATGATCTCACGGATGGTGGCCTCAAACTCCTCAGAGTTATTGAAGTCGATAGTGATGACATGCGGCCTGCCAATATACTGCTCTGCATACGGATGCTGAGAGGACACCTGAGGAGGAATAAATCACAATCACAATAAAACAACGATTGAAGTCCAGATCTGTGTGCTCAATGCATATTTAGCTAACATTGCAAGTGCCGATCATCCTCATAACCAAGATAAAGACAAGTGCCGATCTACCTTCCTGGAGGTGGGCTTCCCTCTGAAGAAGTCGTGATTGAGAGAGCTGTGAGGGGGGTTAAACTTGGGTTGTAGGAAGATGCAGCCATTGGCTATGGCCTCCAAAGGGGCGGGACCTTCGTAGGGGAATCCTAACCCAATGAACAGCTTGATGGGAACATAAAGAGAGGAAGAGATCATTAGTCTATAGAGAGGCGAAGTCCCGCCCTTCTACTTCCGACCCATGGGACCTTATTTCGGAAAAATTATGATGTTTGTCAATCTTAAAAAATAATTTCCGTGTAAAAAAAGTCACAGTTTGACGTACAACTGTTGAAATATAAGATTATGAAAAATACGCAAATAGAAAGACTACAAATCCCAGAGTCGCTTAAGTGATGTCACAATTGTTTTCCTCCACTAAGAGATGGATAAGATCTATATGGCGCTAGCTAAGATAAGATAACTTTAACAAGATGCCTGTGTGCTTAGTACCAGGTTGTTATCATACCAGCAATGGGTCTTGCTCGTTCTTTCGCTTCCCGTCTGATGAAAGGACCAGGAGTGGCTGCATCAAGATAGCTACTTAGCTAGTAGCTAGCACGTTAGTTAGCATTACAGCCTTGTCATTTTTATTAGCCTTAATATGAAGTAACATTAAGTAACCCAAAATGTTAAACAATAGGAGTAGTAGTCATATTTTGTGAACCCTTTGAAGAGTACNGTGTGTTGTTCTGCTAAACCGGAGATGTAGTTCATTCAGCGTTTCACACAAACAAATGTGGTACTTCACAGTTTTACGACAGTTTTTTTTTTACTTGCAAAATTATCTTTTAAATTGACAAACATCATATGTGTAATTCGTGGCACAATTCAAACGGGATCGAATGATAATCTTTCTCTCTCCATTGACTTCAATACATAATTTTTCCTAAATAAGGTCCCATGGAGGTCCCCCGGAAAGGGAGGGACTTCGCCTCTCTATACACTGAGCTGCTCATATCCAAGTCAACTCTTGCATAGGAAGTATTTCAACTCTACAAAGGTATATTAACTCTAACAAAGCATTTCATTTTGATCCAGAATATCTATATGCAAATATTTTCATGAAAGCCTCAGTAATGTTTACCTTGGCCTTCCTGAGCAGCTGCTGCAGCTCCTGCTGGGGCAGCAGGCCGTGGTTCTTGACGAAGGCGGGCACCTCTGGGGGACGCTGCGTCTCATAATACACCGTCCCATGGATCTCCATGTAGCGGTGCAGAATGGTCAGGAACTTTTCCTTTCCCTTCAACACATACAAGCACAATATAAATAAATATAAACACTTAAAAAGCGGCACTGTGCTTTGCAGTAGCTGCTGTATACACACCCTGCTACAAAGGTGGGAAGTGCACCACCAGATCCCCAGTAATTCAGTCATTTGGTAATTCAGTTTTAACTTAAAGGTATGTTTGGAGGTTTTATAGTAGGGTTGTATTTGGTACTCGCGCAGTGGAGTTAACGCAAACAAGCAAAACAACATATTGCTGTGTGAAGTCAAGATATTTTAGCCCTTGCCAAAGCCACCGCACAAAGCCAAGAGAGTCAATGGTCTACGACTGCCCATATTGGAACGTTTGTTTATGTTATTGTGTGAATTTGGTATTGCATAAACCAAAGTCAAGCAATAACACAAACTAAACGATGGAGGCAGGGGAATGAATGCAACATCTCCTGTTTCCAGACTGACTGCAAGGCTGAAATACATTTAGCTGGTGCCCCCATCCATAGCAATATTAATATTATGAGGCTTTTAAACTGAAGGCATGCCGACTGCCAAATTCATTGACGTTGGATATTCACCTCATACAACCCCACTCCAAAATATCAGAACTATCCATTTAAATGTTAGTTATTATGAACAGATTTCTTTATTATTAGGTCAACTGTCTCACTGGACTGCACAGACAGAATGTCTAAATACAGCTATGATTTTTATTTTATATGTTCTCGTTTTTCATGTCCTATATTGACTTTACACACTCTGGAGTTTCCCCTGCTGCCGCCAACAACACTTTGTTAAATGAATTGAAAATACACATTAGTATTCAGACAACTACACAGTTGAGAAAAGCCCAAAGGAGTTGGGAAGAGTTCATGAAAATTAGGCAAGCAGATTAAATGAGCCCAGTCTACTTTTGTTACCACTACACTCATCATGTTGCCAACTTTCCATTACCTGAGAAGTTATGCAATACTTAAATCAATGTATATCTTCTGTGTTGCCCTGTGGAGACCTTTTTAAAATCATTTCACTCACATAAAACTGAATTAGTTTATCAAATCAAAAGGTGATTCAAGGACAATGCTATGAATTATGCACAAATGCTTTCTCCTTCAAGGCGTAAATAATTTAGAAATGTCATCTGAGTATTATTCCTCATTCTTCATCTTAGACTTTTTTAATGTCTTCCAGCCTTGGATACATTTGAGATACAATTACACTTTCTTCTACTTAATTATCCCAAATCCTCTTGAGTATCAAACATTCTTGGATTAAACTGTTACGATGAATTCCAATTGTGAACAGTTTTTATAGTAAAAAACAAAGTAAGACTACTTGGGTTATTTCTTTATCTCAATATGTTTAAACGTTATTTATTCTTTATGGTAACTAACGGTCAAAGTTCATATGTTGGTGATAAATGTAGGAAGAAATGTCACATATTTTAAGCTGTAAACAATACTGATATTTGCATTGTCTTTTTTCTGAATTACCTTTAAAAATGTGGCTCTTAAAAGATGGGGTATGTGATGCGGGGCTCAGATGATTGGTCGTGCTTTTTACAGCGCTACGGCTTCCACAGATGAAATGTTTTTATGTATTTATTGTCAAAGCATTTAAGATATGCATTGCTATCGGGATGTTAAAGAGCAACTTGCAGGTTAGAGACACCAGTGAATACATGTGTAGGAAAATGATGAATACACTAGATTTTCCCAAAAATATACAGAAATATACACTACAGTGACATCTGGCGTCGTTTTAGTAAGACATTTTCACTTCGGCATAAAAAAGCCTCCGCACGTGACCTCCCGCGTGTGACGTAACATGGGGGAAACAAGGGGGAGAGCGGCCGGTCTAACGTATGAATAAACATGGATCACAATGCTAGTTTTGACACAGAAGAGGTTGAAAATATATATTCGAATGCATATGATTATAATTATGAGCCTGCTAGGCGTCCAAGAGACCAGGAGCAGCCAAGGATTAGAAAAAATAACGGCCATCGGAGAGAAATGGAGCTTTGGTGTTCGGAGAACCAGTGGAGAACAGAGCAGCTGTCTTGGTGAGTGACCGGCGTTAGCATGTTAGCTAACGTCAGTCACATCACAACATTGTAAAGTTAGCTATCATATATCAGGCTATAACTAAAGTAGCATTGATAATATAGTAACGTTACTGGCAGGACTGTTGATACTGATCCATAACAGAAACTAATGCGCAAGTATCAGACGTATCTTGCGTTACCTAATGCAACTCCACACTACGGTGCTGTGTACCGGAGGAGAGACGCGAGATACGGCTGATACTTGACGATCTGGCGGAGAAAGGTTGTGGAGCCTCCGTTGATATGCCATTGTAAATGGCTTGATGAAAAGCAGGTGTGTAGTCGGGGAGGGTGCACAACTGATTGCAGCAGGTGAGTGGAGGTTGAGCCGGGAGCCAGGAGTGAGAGCCACCACGCCCACACAAACAACACAGACAGGGGGAAACAAACAAACACAAAGGAGACGACTGGAGCAGTACAGCCACCACAGCGTTACCTAATGCAACTCCACACTATGTCTTACGGTGCCGTGTACCGGAGGGGAGAGAGAGAGAGCAGCGGAAGGGGGGGGGGGAGAGAGAAGTAATACGATTTCCTGATAAAGCTGTGGAGAGTATGTGCTGCAGGGAGGTGGATGCACAACGCACCCAGGAACGAACGCTCGCTCCGGTTCTTTTCCCGTGAGGGAAACTGTGGACTCGATGCCCTAACAGGCTTGAGTTTGTGCAACCTGCACAAAAATAAGCTCACCATGATTACAAATGGTGAAATGCAATGTAAAATTACCGAGAAAATACCAGCTCACTAAATCACAACCGCTCAAACCAACTACTACCGCGGATTGGGAAGAGAACGAGTCCGAGAAAGTTAACTCCCCCATGTGACGTAAGATGACGCGTTTGACGTATGACGTTTTAAAAAAAAAGCAGTTTTTAGTAGCAGAGCTCAAAACGGCTCCTTTTCCTCTGAATTCCTGCCCTTATGTCTTGTAAAACAGATCAAATCCTGCATTAACATTTTTAATTGTAATTTTCAGGCAAGGTTAAGCATAAATGTAGAAAAAAAAAAACCTGCAAGTTGCTCTTTGAGTGCGAGAGCTCTGCAGCTGTGAGAGTCTCTGCTTTAGAAGTTGACTTTTCCTCCTCAGCTGTTCTTTTACTGAGAGGAGTCTCTGTTCGTCGAGATAGATTAATAGGAGGGGAGTCGCCGACACGACAGTCCCGTCGCTGACCGGGGGGAAGAAGGGAACTACTGTGACTACCAACGTAAGTTGAAAAGACCAAAACACGAAAAGAACAAATAACGGTCCCCGAATGTGGCCGATTCGCTTGACCGGGTACTGCTAGACGTCAGTGGTAGGTTGAGCTCCGATTAATAAGGGTAACAAGACACGAAGTATCTCTTTGTCGGCGGCTACATACTTATACTGTGGTACGTCGATGTTTCTCCGGGAGAAGTCCTGATATCAGAAAACCCTGTTCTCGTGTAATAACGATTGTTTGTTTGCACGACTTGAATATACGAAAAAATTCGTCCTACTAGAGGTGTAACAATTGGCAGTGTGGCGATCGATTTCGCGTCCGATTACAACCCGACGAATCCTTGATGTCGTGCGCAGTGTACTGAAGTGCAGTGGTGGCGGATTCGGATTTCCGTCGGATTACAACGCCGGATATCCTCGGCTTGATGTCGTGACGCAGTGTACTGAAGTGAATTGGGTGGCTATTCGGATTTCCACCCCGATTGCAACCCCGAATATTTCCTTGAAGTCTCGTGCCAGTGTACGAAGTGCATTGGTGGGCTATTCATTTACACCGGATGCAACGCCGATATTTCCTTGATGCGGTGCCAGTGTACTGAAGTGCAGGGTGGCGACTTCGATTTCCACCGGATTACAACCGGATATTTCTTGAATGTCGTGCCGAGTGTACGTGAAGTGCCGGAGGTGGCGATTCGATTTCCCGCCCGAATTACAACGCCGATATTTTCCTTGATGTCGTGCGCGAGTGTCACTGAAGTGCGAAGTGGGTCGGCGATTCGATTTCCGGACCGGATTACAACGCCGATATTTCCTTGATGTCGTGCACCAGTGGCTACTGAAGTGCAGGTGCGATTCGATTTCCACGCGGATTACACCCGATATTTCCTTGATGTAGTGCCAGTGTACCCCCGAAGTGCGAGTGGTGGCGGGTTCGATTTCCGACCGGGATTACAACGCCGAATATTTCCTTGATGTCGTGCCAGTGCTACTGAAGTGCGAGTGGGTGACGAATTCGATTTTCCGACCCCGGATTACAACCCCCGTATATTTCGCTTATGTCGGGTGACCAGTGCTACTGGAGTGCAGTGGTGGCCGATCGTATTTCCGGGCCGATTACAACCGCCGGCACCTACTGCCAAATCAGAAGAGTAAATCTGTGACATTCCGTTGGTGACAAAAAAAATTATAGTGGTCACCGCCCCATAAAAAGACTGCGGTAAACTAAAGCAATCCTGTTTTACAAATTGTTTAGAAAGTCGACCATAAATTGGACTCTGGAAACTACGAAGTTGGTTTTTTGTAAAGTTTGATGCTCTGTTCTCCTGTCCCTTCGATCATTTTAGACTTAAATACAAGGTACTGAGCTATGGAAGTCGTGCGCATAAGTATTTTCATGTAGTAGGACGTGAGAATCTTCTAGTAGAGCCCAGGCGAAAAGACACGACAGGAATCGTTTTGTAGCCCCCTGAACGACACGATGACGACTCCTAAGCCGTAAGGACGACAAAACCAACAACCACAGTAAATTACGAACGACATACTCTCAATAAGTGACATTCCGCCTATTGTACGACCGGAAAGAAAGATATTCTAATAGATAAATATGGTCGAAACATATTATATAAAGACAGACACACGATAACATGACATCTTTCAATCACAACCTACACAAACGAACAGAAAAGACCTATACACGACAAGCACACACCTACC